CCCCCGGACACGGAGCTTGGGGCGGTTGCCGTGGCCCATCATACGGACGGGACAGCTCCACTTGGGCCCGTTCCGGCCCCCACCAGAAATTATCCAGACCCGGTGCCCAAGCTCTCAGGGCTCCCTCAGGCTCAGCTAGTCACTATGAGGATGGTTTGTGCTGGCTCCCAAGCCCCCGGCCCAACGACATCCCCCTGCAGCCCGGCCTGGGTTCTGCCCTCCCTGCACTTCGCCTGTGGTTCTGCAGGCCAAATTCTGCCCTCGGTGACCTGCCGTACCAGTGTGACCCCCGGCTCCAGCGCCCTGGCCCAGTGCAGACTGGCAGCACACACCGCTCTGGTGCAGTGTGACCCCCGGCTCCAGCGCCCTGGCCCAGTGCAGACTGGCAGCACACACCGCTCTGGTGCAGTGTGACCCCCGGCTCCAGCGCCCTGGCCCAGTGCAGACTGGCAGCACACACCGCTCTGGTGCAGTGTGACCCCCGGCTCCAGCGCCCTGGCCCAGTGCAGACTGGCAGCACACACCGCTCTGGTGCAGTGTGACCCCCGGCTCCAGCGCCCTGGCCCAGTGCAGACTGGCAGCACACACCGCTCTGGTGCAGTGTGACCCCCGGCTCCAGCGCCCTGGCCCAGTGCAGACTGGCAGCACACACCGCTCTGGTGCAGTGTGACCCCCGGCTCCAGCGCCCTGGCCCAGTGCAGACTGGCAGCACACACCGCTCTGGTGCAGTGTGACCCCCGGCTCCAGCGCCCTGGCCCAGTGCAGACTGGCAGCACACACCGCTCTGGTGCAGTGTGACCCCCGGCTCCAGCGCCCTGGCCCAGTGCAGACTGGCAGCACACACCGCTCTGGTGCAGTGTGACCCCCGGCTCCAGCGCCCTGGCCCAGTGCAGACTGGCAGCACACACCGCTCTGGTGCAGTGTGACCCCCGGCTCCAGCGCCCTGGCCCAGTGCAGACTGGCAGCACACACCGCTCTGGTGCAGTGTGACCCCCGGCTCCAGCGCCCTGGCCCAGTGCAGACTGGCAGCACACACCGCTCTGGTGCAGTGTGACCCCCGGCTCCAGCGCCCTGGCCCAGTGCAGACTGGCAGCACACACCGCTCTGGTGCAGTGTGACCCCCGGCTCCAGCGCCCTGGCCCAGTGCAGACTGGCAGCACACACCGCTCTGGTGCAGTGTGACCCCCGGCTCCAGCGCCCTGGCCCAGTGCAGACTGGCAGCACACACCGCTCTGGTGCAGTGTGACCCCCGGCTCCAGCGCCCTGGCCCAGTGCAGACTGGCAGCACACACCGCTCTGGTGCAGTGTGACCCCCGGCTCCAGCGCCCTGGCCCAGTGCAGACTGGCAGCACACACCGCTCTGGTGCAGTGTGACCCCCGGCTCCAGCGCCCTGGCCCAGTGCAGACTGGCAGCACACACCGCTCTGGTGCAGTGTGACCCCCGGCTCCAGCGCCCTGGCCCAGTGCAGACTGGCAGCACACACCGCTCTGGTGCAGTGTGACCCCCGGCTCCAGCGCCCTGGCCCAGTGCAGACTGGCAGCACACACCGCTCTGGTGCAGTGTGACCCCCGGCTCCAGCGCCCTGGCCCAGTGCAGACTGGCAGCACACACCGCTCTGGTGCAGTGTGACCCCCGGCTCCAGCGCCCTGGCCCAGTGCAGACTGGCAGCACACACCGCTCTGGTGCAGTGTGACCCCCGGCTCCAGCGCCCTGGCCCAGTGCAGACTGGCAGCACACACCGCTCTGGTGCAGTGTGACCCCCGGCTCCAGCGCCCTGGCCCAGTGCAGACTGGCAGCACACACCGCTCTGGTGCAGTGTGACCCCCGGCTCCAGCGCCCTGGCCCAGTGCAGACTGGCAGCACACACCGCTCTGGTGCAGTGTGACCCCCGGCTCCAGCGCCCTGGCCCAGTGCAGACTGGCAGCACACACCGCTCTGGTGCAGTGTGACCCCCGGCTCCAGCGCCCTGGCCCAGTGCAGACTGGCAGCACACACCGCTCTGGTGCAGTGTGACCCCCGGCTCCAGCGCCCTGGCCCAGTGCAGACTGGCAGCACACACCGCTCTGGTGCAGTGTGACCCCCGGCTCCAGCGCCCTGGCCCAGTGCAGACTGGCAGCACACACCGCTCTGGTGCAGTGTGACCCCCGGCTCCAGCGCCCTGGCCCAGTGCAGACTGGCAGCACACACCGCTCTGGTGCAGTGTGACCCCCGGCTCCAGCGCCCTGGCCCAGTGCAGACTGGCAGCACACACCGCTCTGGTGCAGTGTGACCCCCGGCTCCAGCGCCCTGGCCCAGTGCAGACTGGCAGCACACACCGCTCTGGTGCAGTGTGACCCCCGGCTCCAGCGCCCTGGCCCAGTGCAGACTGGCAGCACACACCGCTCTGGTGCAGTGTGACCCCCGGCTCCAGCGCCCTGGCCCAGTGCAGACTGGCAGCACACACCGCTCTGGTGCAGTGTGACCCCCGGCTCCAGCGCCCTGGCCCAGTGCAGACTGGCAGCACACACCGCTCTGGTGCAGTGTGACCCCCGGCTCCAGCGCCCTGGCCCAGTGCAGACTGGCAGCACACACCGCTCTGGTGCAGTGGACATTCGAATGAGAGGCAGAGCGCCCAGGCTGCCCCCTCAACTCAGTCCTGCTGCGACCCTCTGCCTCTTGCCAGTGTGGTGGCTGGTGGGGGGCACCAGGGCGTCCTGGCCTATATATTGCCCTGGGAGGGGGTCTGGCATTTGGAAGCAGCCAGGTGCAGTGTAACGCCGGCTCAGCCGACGGCAGCTCCCGCAGCCCCCTGGCCCCAGGTGGTTTCCAGGCCCAGTTCTGGGCGCGGCGCGTGGGCTCGCGGGGGCAGAGCGCTGCAGGCAGGGCATCCGGCTGCCCCCACCTGGGCAGGAAGTGGGGGGTGGCTTCCGCAGAGGTGCTGGGCTCACCCTTGTCTCTTTGCACAGAAGCAGAGAATCAGTCGTCCCTCTCCCCCCGTGGAGAGCTCGGAGTGCAGCACCATCTACGTGGCAGCCACCAGCCTGCCCCCAGACACCACCCAGGTGAGGGGGGTCCCTGGGCATTTAATTACTGGGACGTGGCGGAAACAGCTGTGGTCAGCGTGTCCCTTCTGCAAGGACCTCCTCACTCCTACTGCAGCCCGGCCTGGGCTGCAGGAACAGCTGAGGGGCCACAGCCAGTGATCCCTGTAAGCTGGGCACCTGTGCGGCCACTGCCTGGCTGATCAGCAGAGCGCCCACAGCTAGGTTTTTGTTTCAATATGTGGTGCGCATCTGCCCATGCCTCAGTGCACAGAACAAAATGTAATCCACACATGCATGGAAAAAATTAGTGGGACCATTGATCACAACCATAAACTCAGGCCGACCCATGCTGAGCAGGAGAGGTCGGGCGGGATCCGGCAGCGGGAGCGGAGGTTTATTCCTGGTGCATGTCTGACGAGGGCCGGCGCTGGAGCTGCAGGATGTTTGCCCAGCTCGTTGGCTGGCGCTAGCAGTGTCCGGCCCTGGGGGTCGGCTCAAGCAGCAGCTGAGCTGGCTGTTCACAGGGAGCCCTGCAGCAGGAGGCGCCAGCGGGATTCTCAAGCCGGAGCATTCAGCCCCACAGAACAAAGCTCTGGGCAGACAGGACCCGAGGGCCAGCAGGGACCTCGGGCAGGGCCCCCAGAACAGGGTGAGGGGGGTGACAGGGGCCC